ACATGAACAGAAGTAAAACTGGAACTGTCTGAAGAGGGGACGAATACCACAGCCAGGCTGGGCATTTGCAGCATTTCTGGTAACCAGGCTTTAGCATCCATGTACAAAAGGAGAAGCCTTCCTCACCTGAGTGGCACACAATTAATAGAACACTTCTTATTACCATGTCCATATGTCAACTTAACAACAAAATTTACCTTAGGTAAAAATCTAGCTACAAAAAAAAAAAAAAAAGGGCATCATGTTTAATCTGGACAGAATTTAAAGGGGAAAAGCCACACCAAAACTTCTGGTTATAAACAAACAATTAAGTTTGAAAGAGAAATTCAAAGCTTTCTTCTCTTCTTTTTCTTCCTTTCCTTTCTCCTTCACAGCCTCTAGCCACCCCCCCCCACCATGGCATCATTTACAAAACCAAAAAAAAAAAGCATGTCAAGAAGTGAGGCCATTTTTATTGTTCTAGTTAAGAAATAAAACACTTAGAGTATATAAGAATCATTCCCTTTTTTTATCATTCACTTGTCTACCCATAAGAAAATATATTTCTACTTTGAAAGGAAGGAAAGTGTGTTTAAATAAGGACTAGAGAATTTAATGTTTCTATTAAATTGGGGGCCCAGTTCAAGCTGCCCATGGAGGCCTTTTTTAACACCTACAGTTCCAGAGTTTGTCCACCAGAGAATACAGACTAATAGATAGGTTTTCTGACTTTCCAAGGTTACAGGCATAAAACCCATTTCCTTTTCATTCAAATTCTATGGGATACATTTCTTGTCTAAATTGAGAGCTGAATTTTGTCACTTCATTATATTTCTAAACAAATTACTTCTTGAAGGTAGAAAAAGAAAGAAAAGAAACCTTCATAACTACAAAAGACTGGGTAAATGGGGAAAAAGGTCAGTCACAGGTGTGATAACTTCCAAATGTGCCAAGTTACAAAAGGTTAGATACTGAGACAGCCAAGTTAAACAAGGCATATTTGAGGCTCTCTTTCTTCCTGGTTCCCCCATTTCTCTCCAGAGGTCCCTGGTATGAATTTATGAACACCTGAGGGTCCAGATATCCTAATTGTGTCCTGTGTTTAACTTGGCCATTTAAATGAGTAAGTGCTCCCCTCTCTCCTTCCCAGCTTTATAACTTGGCTTATACTGAACAAGTTACACCTTTAGGTAGTGGACCACTTTTTCCTTCTTAAACTGGTTTGGGGTTTTTTTTCCAGAGTAAGTTTCAAAAAAAAAAATGTCTATTACCAGGTAAAAAGGCTGAGGAACTTCTGTTAGAGGAACCCCACAAGAAATAGAATTCAAAAGCCAGCAAGAAGAAAAGAAAGAAAGAAATAGGTCACAATTGACCAATTTGATGTAACTGACTTGCCACCTCTAAAAACAATTTGACAGCAGAACTATTTTCACTAATCTACTCAAAGGCTGTGTCTGCCCTCAGGAATTGAGACAGATATCCAAATGACACAGATGAGGCAGAAGGGGTGACTCTCTCATTTGTTACCTGACCATCCACTGCTCTAAATACTGCCTTTGCCTCCTGCCTCTTGGTCCATTAAACAGAGTTTTTGCCATAGCATAACCAAAAAATTAGTTCCTTGAATTTATACGTATGCAGATAAAATGGAGTTGTACTTTCAAAATCTTTCTCAGTTTTCACAAACAGGAGCCTAAAAAAAAAAAAAAATTGGAGTGTTTAATAGTTAAATGCACATAAGAGGAGTTCGCCAGGGAGGCAGGGCTCCACTGGAGCCAGGGAGCTGGCACTCACTCTGAGGAGGTGTACTCTGAAGACAACTGGGCTCAAGTTTGTTGCAGACCAAACCTCTGGCATCACTCACAGAACTGAACTGAACTCATAAAATAAATTCAACTCTTAGCAGCATTTTCCTGGTAGCTCTTATTTCCAAGTGTCTGGTTGGAAAGAAAAACTCTAAACTTAACTGTCATTTTGTTTTAATGGTTTTTACCTGCTTTATGTAAACTACTCCCCTGAGATACAGGTTTCAAATTACATTATCAGGAGTGACAGCCATATCAGAAACATCTTTTAAACCTTGTTTGTTTGTTTTTGTGGGTTGTTGGTTTTTTAAAGTATGCATGTGAAAACAAGTTAAAAACTGAATGTATATCTTGATGTTTTATTAAAAGGGTATGTTGCATTTTCCGAGTTCCCAATGCCTTTTTCAAAAAGTTCTCTTTGAATCTACAAGGTTTGGAAAACTAATTAAAATAAATCCAAAATGTCTATCTCCTGATTGCAAAACTCCCAATCAGTTCTTCTTTAAAAGAACGAATTGAAAAGGGAGGCTGCCTCTTTCTGTCTGCTGAAATGATCAAGTGGTATTAACAGCTATTATTACTAATAATGTGTCAGCATTCTGTCAGCAGCATACCACCTTCCTGGTTTTGCTGTGACCTTTCAGAACAACATTATGGGCAGAATCCACATATTCAGAACATCCTTAAGAGACATTTGGGGGAAAAATGGAACCCCTTCCACAGGAGGAATCAAAATAACGGAAGAACAAAGTGGGTATTTGCCAAGAGTCAGCCAGAAAGCCATTCTACTTGTCCAAAAACGTTACTAATACTACAATTACTCGTTTGATATAGCTCATCTAAACATGCACTCCCCCCCCCCAAACAGATGCATACACTGAAGGAAAACAGGCCGGCTCTTCTGACCGTACTATTTTTATCCTTGTCTGAAGCTTCTCACCCCCAAAGCCCAGACGGCCCACCTGAGGGCCAGTCTCTCTACTGGGAGCCTTCCAGGCAGCAGATCGAGGACGACTCCGCTGGGGTCCGAACCCACGCGGAAAAATGGAGGCTAAAGCTTTGTTTTGAATGTAAATATTTTATTTAGAGCCTAGCAGAGGAAACACTAAAGCTGTGTTTCCACAGAGCAGAGGTATTCGTAAATTTTTGCAACATGACAATGTAACAAAGAATGAAATACCCTTTACTCATTTCCACTTGACATTATTTGCTCAGTGGTTGAGGAAGCACGGGTCCCAGGTCCAAGTATTTTGCAGCTGGACTTGTCTAAAATTGTTCTTTGAATATCTCCAGCTGAGGGCTTCACTAACTGTCCATAATACCCTCTGCTCAGGAGAACGGATCCTCCTTGGGAAACACTGGGAACTTAAGCTTTCAAAACCCAACACAACTTTCCCTCTGCATTCCAAAAAGGCAGGTGACTGACTGCTCGGACGGAGCGGAGGTGCAAAGTACCAGCAGCGCAAACTTTAAGAAACTTCATTTATTAAAAAGAAATTAAAAATCTCCCAAATTTGTGCGTGAGACTTCAAATGCCTTTTGGACTCCTTTAACGAGGCTGACAGCAAATGTGAACCTATTACACCCCGAAAGTTCTTCCTTCCAAGCCGCTGCTACAATGAGGTCCGCCCTGGTGTCTGGCTTCGCTTTACATCTAAGGAAGCGAAGTCACCCCGCAAGTTCCCTCAACCCAATCGTCGTCCCCGGTGACCCTGTCACCACACCCGCACACGCCTGTGGCACTTCTTTTTCTGCACTGGCGACACTGCCATCTTTCAGGTCCTGGGGTCGAGGGTTTGCCCCATAAAATGTGCGGCCCACATGAATGTAAATGACCAGTGAAGCTGTGTCGAGACGCATGTCCACGATTCACCTCGTTTCCCAACTCAAACTTGTCCCGGTGCCTCCGGGAGAGAGGAGAGTGTTTCCGTGCGCCAGGGCCTCCCCCGCCCGGCCCCTTCCCAAGAGAAGAAAGGGCTTTGTGTGTGCTCCCAGGGCTCCGTTAACCGAGTTCATTCATACACCGCGGCCCGGCTGGCGGAGCGGGGCGCGGGTCCTCCCCTCGAAGGCTGGCGAAGTCGGGGACCCCGGGCCCGAGCGAGGCCGCGGGGCGCGCAGGAGCAGGAAGAGGATGCTGCGCCGCCGGAGAGGCGGGGCGGGGCCGCGCGGACCCGGGACCCTCTCGGCCCCGCCGTGCGCACCCGCCGCCCTTTGTCCTCCGCCTCCCGGGTCCCCTTGTCTGCTCTGCCTCCAGCGTCCCCATCCCGCGCCCGGCCTGCACAGTCTCCCTCGGTCCCGTCGCCCGCCCAGCACAGCCTCGCAGCGCAGGACTCCGGCTCCCCGCGGCCGCCGCCCACGGGCTCCCCGGCAGAGGACCGCGAAGGTGGAGGAGGAGACGGCCAAGGAGGAGGAGGCCGCCACGTGACTCCTCGCCACATTCCAACACAGCCACCAGATCAATAACTTCAGGGCCCCCACCCCCACCGCCGCCAACTAGTGCGCCCCCAAAGCCCCCTGCTCCAACTTCCCACTCGGCGGAGCCGGCAGGAGCGCACCCCGGCGCGGAGAGCCCAGAACAGGAGCGGCGGGGGCCAGGGCCAGTCAACTTTGCTGAGCCCGCCGCCCGCGCCGGTGACTGGCGCGCCCGAGCCCCGCGCGGGGCGTCCGCGGGCCGGGGCTTGTTTACGCGCGGGGCGCGGCGGCGGCGGCAGCGGCGGGGTCCTCGCCCTGGCTCCACGGGACCCCGGCCTGGCTGTGATTAGCAGGGTTCCCTCCCACCCACCCCCAACTCCGAGATGACTTTTTCTTCTTCCAAAGAAAAATAAATAAATAAAAAGCAGCACCGCACGGTTTTGCATATTTATTCTCGGCGAAAACAGAGGACAGAAACTTTTTCTCCTGCAGCCCAGATGTGGCTCAGGCGGGGAGCTCTGGCTCCCCCTCCGGATATTTTTTTCCTTCCCTCTTTTTCGTTTTCTTCTCTTGCCCACTTTCCATTTCTCCCGCCGCCCCAGTTGGGGATCCTCCTCCCGAACCCCCCCCAACACCTCACCCTCTCTCCACCTGGGGGATAAACAGGGGAGGGGAGCGCGCGCGCCCCCGCACTCACACTCACGCGCGCACACGCCTCGCGGCCACGCAGCCCTCGCTCCGCTCCCCACAGTGACACTCGAGGCTGGGGGAGGAAGAAGGCGGGGAGGGGGGGGTCCTCCTTACCTTTGAGGGATCTCGGTTTCGCTTGCTTGCGGCGAGACATCCTAAAAGCAAATAGCTGAAGTTGTTTCAATTGAGCCCTGTAAGAAACTACACTTCCTCGTGGCCGCGCGCCCCTCGCGCCGCGGCGCCTCGCGCCCTCCGCTCG